AGAACTGTTTCCTGCAGTTCTTTTATCTTATATCCCTTTCTTTCAAGAGGAGGGTCCCGTTAGGGCCCCTCCGAAATACTGGATGTTCCATCTACACAGAGTTGGACTCAGTTAGACAACTACCACAAATACAATTAAGTACTTTACTGTTGGACTCAGTACTAGTTGGACTTCTTCCACAAGTAGGCTACTATGAAGTTATGTTACTGTGTACTTTCAGTTATTCTCTGTCAAACTCCTGTGGCAGAAAATCATTTGATCTCTCATCAAATATAGCAGAAAACATGCAGTTTGACAGAGGATTAAAACTGTCATCAGAGCCCTCTCATCTGAGCTCCGTTACACACACAGGAGCGGGACATCCTCCTCAACCTGTCCGCCATAAAAGCTTCAGAGGGCGGATAGCTCCGTAGCGTCCCGCTAATGTGAAACACACACACACACAGCGTTAGCGGGACATCCTCCTCCCCCTGTCGGCCCTAAAAGCTTCAGAGGGCAGATAGCTGGGCTCCGTAGCGTCCCACTAGCTTAGCCGCTAGCTAAAGGTAAACATAGATGGGTACATAGAATATGAATAAATCGTCACCGATGTAGAGGATATATTTTTTTATTCACAGGCACACATTTATGAGCTTTAACAATGGTCAATTATATTTCTTAAATAATATGTAGCCTATTCCCAGAGCATAATTCATGGGGCAACAAGGTGAGGTGTAAAATGTGTTTTAATATCATAAATGTTACGCCAGCAAACTTCTTGTACGGACTTCGGCAGTAGTGAAGACTCACTGAACGAATTAAGTACAAAGACGAATCGTTCGCGAACGTGCAAATCACCAGAAGTCGTTCGCGAACCGGTGAACGAATCAGTGAACGAATCTTTCAAGTGAACTGAATCAAAAGATTTGTGTCCCCGAAGGGAATCTAAATGCCCATCACTAATATTTAAAGGTCTGTAGGGGAGAAGGGGGTAAGTTGAACCAGTGAGGAAGTTGAACCTCCCCCTATAACCGGGCAACGCCTTATAGTTGTAATCAAGTGACCAGAAATGATGCAAGCTCCTCCCATTTCTCCTTGCCTGTGAAAGAGAGATGCTCATTGTGGTCTGGTAAGTAAACATTTTTACAAAAAAGCGTTTTTTGCTTGTCAAAGTACATTTTCTAGATGTCAGCTATATCGGCTGTCATGTCAAAAAAAAGTTTCCAGGTTTAAACACATATATTGTATAAGTTGATGTGTTGGCAGCGTATTAAACCATGTGAATCATTAAGCTAAAGATGACTCTGAATTCTAATGCTAGGCTATTTGTTCTAAAATGGTGGCTGTGGGGTAAAGTGAACCACGGGCCGTGGGGTAAAGTGAACCACGGGCCGTGGGGTAAAGTGAACCACGGGCCGTGGGGTAAAGTGAACCACGGGCCGTGGGGTAAAGTGAACCACGGGCCGTGGGGTAAAGTGAACCATGGGCCGTGGGGTAAGTTGAGCCAGATTTTCAATGGAGAAATTAATGAAAGTAGGCCAAGTTGATAATAAGAGCTCATTGTAGGCTATTTAAAGTTGAATGTACCCTGTGTTTGATTGGTAAGATGTATGAAATTGTATCACCATTTGTATGATTACTTTTCTTTTTAACATGTTAAAATATTTGAAAAACTAAGCTTGTATTTGGTTTGTTATTTATTGTTTAAAGTTACCTTTAAGATGTGTTGTAGGTATGCCCAGGTTTGAACAGTGGTTCAACTTACCCCCTGACCTGGATCAACTGACCCCTAACCCAGGGCCAGTTGAGCAAACACTTTTTTTTTTAAAGAAGTAATATTTTCACTGCCCTTGATCAAATATGAATTATCATCATTGCCATTGATAGGAGACATCCTGAACTATAGGTGTGTGTTTTTTTACTATGTGTCATTTCTCCTTGCTTAGAGGACAGCATAACTACACAATGGCTCAACTTACCCCACTCTCTCCTACACACAAACTGAAAGATTGACAATAAAGTTGACTTGAGAAACCTTGAGGGCTGAATCTTTAAAGAGCTGTGTTTCAAGGTTTCTTATTTAAACCAGCGTCTCTGCTGTAATCTGGAATCTGTGACGTTTGTTTTTCAGCTCCACATTTCCTGTGACGCCTTTTAGACGAGATAGAGTTTCAGAGCGCTTTCTCTACGCACATACTGTCAGAGCGCCTCATTGACTCAAGAGTGGACATAAAGTATCAGTCCCAGCTGCTAGAGAGCGAAGACCCTCTCAACTTAGACATGCTACATCCTTAGACCTGCTTGAAAGGAAAGGTCTTCTTAAACTGCTGATGCATTAGGATCGTGCTGCTACTGCACAATTCTTCTTTTTATTTTCTATGTCCTGTCTTGACTTTTTTTTGTAAGTTTGTGTAAGGTATGCTATGTCGTGTCTTGTAACCATCATGTTTCAAAGAATGAAAAATGTATAAACATATTGTTTAAATAAAAAAAAGAAATACTAAATCCTTTAAGTTATACGTTTAAAAACATGCATTGCACTAATACTGGAGGCAGTGAGGGATTCGTCAGCTTCTCAACAACACTGTCTTCTCTACGCGGCTAAACAAATTAAATGCAAACTACTTTACTCTGGAAAAAGGCGAGGTCCGTCAGGCGAGGTCCCTCAGACGAGGTCCGTCAGATCGAGGTCCCTCAGGCGAGGTCCGTCAGACGAGGTCCCTCAGGCGAGGTCCGTCAGATCGAGGTCCCTCAGGCGAGGTCCGTCAGACGAGGTCCCTCAGGCGAGGTCCGTCAGACGAGGTCCCTCAGGCGAGCTGTGGATCCCAAACGTCATTTATAGCTCAACTAATGTTTATATTGTCCCAACAATGCAAAGCCGTCCCTGCTCTGCTTACATGTCAAGGCTGCTGCAGAAAGGCCTATGTATACAAATGCTTTAAACAACATGTGCAAGAGGGGAGCCTCAAAGTGTCCAAGCAGAGAAAGCAGAGATGTTCACAATAAGAGGCTTCTTGTGCAACCAAATGCATTTCTTACACCTTCAGTTTCAGGCAGAAGGGATATGTGATGTAAGGTTATAGTTTTAGTGAAGCCATGTGTTTTCACAGAGCTGCGATCTGTGACAGAAACCAGCTCATCTAATGAAGCACGTTGTGTGTTCCAGCTGTTATTCACACCCTGAGCGCGGCCTTGCAGAACCTCCCAGAGGTGAGTCAACACCGTGTAACCTTCACTGACTCCGTTTATTACAGCGCTGTAACGGTGGGACCATCAGGAAAAACAGGAATCACCCGCATTGTAAAGTATCCATAAAGCACCACATATTCATCAGGATAGTCAAACAGGAAGAGCTCTTATTTTGAAACTTAAACGCGTTTAATTTGACTTTAACAACCTGCAGCGTCACTCAGACGTTTATATGCGGTTTACATTATTCTATTGGTATCTTAATACATCATTAGACTTGCATTCTAATAAGCTCCATTTAGCAGCAGGTAGTGGGTTCACGTCTCCAGATCATAATAATAGATTTTGTTAGCGCGTTTACAGGTGCTCAAAGACGCTTTACAGATATAGTGAAAATAAAAACTCATGGTCAGATATTGAGTGTTTTGTACGATTTCAACAAACAATAGTATTTGTTGTGGTGTTCATAAAGGATATGCTGCTCCCTGAATGTGAGGAATACGTCATTATGACTCGTAGAGAAAGGCATTTGAATTTAAATCCACTTTCTGTAGAATACGAGCTGTAGTTACTCATCATGAGGCACACGTTCGATCTCAAATTTAGAACAATGACTATTTGTAGAAAAGTGAAACTAAAATAAACAAGGGACATATTGTTTTTGGCATTATGTAAGTTAGTTGAGCGGTTTTGATGTTATTTTGTGAACAATTTGTACTTCTACTGTAGAAAAGGGGCTGTAGTTACACTCAACATGCTAATTAAAATTGCAATATCACATGCGTTATCTGAAATGGAAAAAATATGCTGTGTATTTGGAGACTTTAACACAAAATCTCAACCCACTATCTGACTTTTTGTCATAGTAAATGAACTGGTAGTTCAAATAAATCCACTGGTTTGAATGACTGTGATTCCAGTGAGACAAAACCCATTTCCCTTAAAATAACATTTATTGCACTTTATGTTGTCCTTGAACGCATCTTAAATGGCAGAAATAATGGTGTACTTTTCCTCCACTACATGTATTAATACCTCTAGTTACTTCACAGATCTGGATGAATGATGTGAAATATAACCAAGTGTTGAATCAGACTTTAGTTCCACCTGGAGTAAATCCACCAGCTACCCTGCAGTATACAAAGTACTTCAGACTAGCTGCACCTTCACCAGCTTTGAGAACACTTTCATGATCAATCATTATAAAACATATCATATATATTATTCTGAAATGGACCAATCTGCACAACGACTACTTTTACTGTCTTTCACTATATTTAGATGAGAATACTTTTCTACTTTCACTTGAGGAACATTTTGAATGCAGGACTTTTACTGTAACAGAGTATTCCTACACTCTGGTACTTCTACTTTTACTCAATTACAAGGTCTGAGTACTTCTACTTTTACTCAAGAACAAGATCTGAGTACTTCTAATTTTACTGTACAAGATCTGAGTACTTCTAATTTTACTGTACAAGATTTGAGTACTTCTACTTTTACTTAAGTACAAGATCTGAGTACTTCTACTTTTACTCAAGAACAAGATCTGAGTACTTCTACTTTGACTCAAGTACAAGATCCGAGTACTTCTACTGTATACATATGCTGTAGTTTCTTCCTGATACTAAACATGAGGAGCGGAAATATACAATCGAAATGTGTATTTGTAGATTGTAAACGGCAGATAAACTGTTGGAATTTCTCTCTCTCTTTCTGCAAAGAGAACACAGAGAAGTTTTAAATGGAGACAGAAGTGTCTCTGCTGCATGTTGGATACTAGAGACAGGCTTTTCCACAGAAACTGAGATCCACAGGAACCCTGAACTCACCTGGTGTTCGGGTCGCAGGTCAGCTAAATCCGGTCGTCGAGTTTAAACACAGTCCCTGAACGCAGCGGGAGGTGGATTCAGTGAAACGGGGTTCTGGTTTTGGTCTCTTCTGGTTCTGGTTTTTAGTCTCGAGGCTCCATGACTCTTTCCTTTCTTTAATTCCGATCCTCACAAAGCTTCACCTGCGCTGCGCGATCCGGCTCACCTGGCGGAGGGATCTGCAGTGAGGCGTTCAGGGCGCGGTGCTCTGCTGCACAAAGAGCTACACACAAACACACGCACACGCACACACACACACACACACACACACACACACACTCATACGCAGTAGCAGCAGCCAATCAGAGAGCAGCTGGGAGGAGTTTAAGGTGAGGACGGGGGCAGAGGCGCGAGAAGGTATTTTGAGTGGGGGTGCTGGGGTGCTGTCCGATGTGCTAATTACGCAAGGTGGGGGGGCGGGGCGGGGGTGACGTTGACATACACCGAGCAAAACCACACACACACAGTGAATAACAATGGACTCCAGTGCACGCTATTACGGGCACTATAGAGCAGTGGTTCTCAACTGGTCCGGCCTCGGGACCCACTTTTTCCTTTGTCAATAAATCGTGACCCGAAATTTTGAACCACTCAAATCTATTCAACAAAAAATGGTGCTGTAATATATATACACTTTTCAGCATACATTATTAATGAAAGTGTAGTACAGTGCATAGCTCCATTATATCCCTTCACAGAACTAAATAATGCTTTAAAATAAGGTTTAATGAGGTGATGGAATCAAAGCTGAACTGTATAACATAAAAAGGCACACATGCTGAAAACTGTAGAACCATATTCTTCAATCTTTTCATCATGTTAACAAATCATACTTTAAGAGATTTTTATTCACGTGTGAATAAAGTAGTGATCTCATTTGTTACAATATTGATCACCATTAAAAGGATAGTTTTAGGAACCACTCTATAAGACACATCTTTATTTGTATGGATAAGGTTAGAGGGAGAGTTGGTGCCAAGCCAGATATAGTGCTCCAATCTAAAGTACTGATTTCACCATTGTAGCATAGTTATTACCATAGAAGGGCTTTAAGATGGAAATATGAAATGACTTCTGTTTTTAAATCCTTGATAAAGGAGAGAGTGATGGAGCATGTTCCGACACCAAGGTTCCACACTGCTAAAGAGTGTTGGGTGTAACGCGTTACAAAAGTAACAGAGTTACAGTAATATATTACTTTTTGATGTAACGCATTACTAATGAAATGTGGGAAATATATTACCCGTTACAACAACACGTTCTCACTCCCAACCCGTCACATGTTGACGGTCGGTCAGGGCCCCTCCCCGTCACTCTATTACGCACAGGGTACCCCTTGAGAGTCAGTTTTCAACGGGCAGGGCGTCCCATAGACCTTCATAGACATCCCAATGCGTTGATAATAGACGTCATGAGAATGCTCCCCGACGGTCGGTTGTTAGTGTCAATATTAATATAATAATTATTTATTCTTTAATAGTCACACTCGATTTCGCCGATTTTCTTGTTGCCCCAGCTGGTCGACACCTCTTTTAGGCTACATTAATGTATTAAATCGATGTTAATCTATGTGTGTGGTTGTGGAATTAATGGATGTGCCGTTGTGCGATTGCGTTGCCAGGCAACAAAATACTTTAATGTAAATTTAAATGTCAATGTGAAGGGATGTGTGTAATGTGGTGATTATTATTCACCCACGGATCTATGGGTTGGGGTATTGTTCCGCACGGACATTTTAGTTAACCGGACTTCCTGTTGATGTGAAATCCGAGAAAAAAAAAAAAAAAATAATAATAATAATACTTTATTCCGAGTTTGCTTGCTTTTCTCTTTGAAAGTCATCACATAACGGCATTGTAATACACGGTTCGGCTGCATTACATATTACAGATCTGCCGTAGTTCTCTATTTATAGAGCCCTGATGACAACACTTCTAGACAAACAGGAGAACTGCCGCCGAAACTGAATATGTGACGTGGATCATAAATATATCAGCAATTAAACAACATCTTCAATTTCTCTTCACAATACGTCTCCTTGCAGTATCAACACTAATTCGGCTGACTTTTATATTTGATCCAATCGGTATATTGGTATATGTACACCATAACGGTGCACAGCTGATTTGTTTGTTTGTAGCCTTTATTTAACCAGGTGAAGCCCCTTGAGATCAAAAGATCTCTTTTTCAAGGGTGACCTGCAAAAGATAGAAAAGGGACACCTGGTGGTTAAAGCACGTTATTGAAATGTATTATTTTTATTATTAGACATTAATAGGAGACACAGACAGACAAACTAATAAGGCTTTATCTAAACATTAAAGAATACTTTAGGTTAAGGTCTTATTTTAAATAAGAAAAAAGCTTTGGGGGTATACATATTAAGCCTGACAAAGTACTAATATATTGCTTTCCTGCAATGTTAACTACTGTATGTTTAAGCACTTATTTTAACTGATATTATACATATGTATTTTACTCTTATATAAGATGTATGTAGATAGTATAAGAAATGTGCAGAATATGACAGTTTAATGGTGGAGGTATACACACATATTGATAGATGTCTTGTAATGCACTGTTGAGGAACCTGCGACCCAGGTTTTTCATCTCCGGCCTTGTCAGGTATTGAACATTCAATAAATAAAGAACACAGAATTGATAAATATAAAACACAGAATTTGTGTGATTATACTAAATGATGTAAATAAACACCACTGCATATTTACAACTGTTACACATGCTGATGTACGCAAATGTTTCCAACTTGGGATCAAGTTGATTAAAGTATATCTTATCTTAAGATGATCGATGGCTACTGCCATATTTGCAAAATGTGCCTCTGAACCTTGACAAGTGCTTATCAATGAACAACAGGAGGGGTCACAGACATAAGACCAGCTGTTGAATAAAGCTCTTCTGACCTTAGCTGGCATGTGTGTATATATATTAATGCTGCCCATTATGGGCACAAGCAATTTTCACCCATTTATTAATTATATGTTTTAAATGTGAGTGTTTCCTATCCCCTAAACCTCCAGGGATGTACACAGTTTGATACTGGCAACTTCTTATTATGGGAAATACGAAAACGTCTTTTAAAACTACAACTCCCAGTAGAGACGTGGCATAGATAGAGAACATGTTGCGAAACACAATAGCCAGCATGTGTAGTTCTGGGGACGGGGTGGGGGAGGGGGGACGCGGTGGACCCGTTCAAATCCAGTTTTGGACAGTCTGCCGTGGTTCCATCCCATTTCAAAGTGCTGTTCGAGGCTCGGCGTAACCCTCGGAGCACACTCAAACATCCAATCACAGAGCTTGAGGACTATCACAGGGTTTGTCAAGCGAAGCGGAGAGAATACTTACTTCTGGGTGTAAAATTCTCGAAAGCAAATGAGCTGCTCCGACCCTCGGTCCTGACGGACTCCAACTTGTGTTTATTAATCAAACAAATAAATAAACACAAGGATAATTATGTGTTATTGTTGAGTAAATAACAGTGTGGTTTAGAAAATAATACAAAATTAGAAGGAAAAAACGATGAAACAATACAGATTTCAGTATTCTGAGCCCCTACTCTCCCCATAACTGACAAAAGCCCTACATTATTCAATTAAAATAAAGAAGTAAACACAATAAGTGTGGCTTGATATTGAGTTAGAAAAAGGTTTATAACGCTGTGAGAATGGATCTGCGGAGAGCATTTCGCCGCGATCTTAACTCCTCTATTACCAACGTTCAGGGAGCTCTTTGCAAGTCAATGGGACTCCCTGATAGTTGAAAACTGACTCTCAAGGGGTACCCTGTGCGTAATATGGTGACGGGGAGGGGCCCTGACCGTCCGTCAACATGTGACGGGTTGGGAGTGAGAACATGTTGCAACACGTTACAATGCTCAGTAACGCAGTTACAATACATTTTAACCCGAAATGAAATGGTGTTTTGTTTTTTAAGAATGTAGTGTAGTGCCGAGAGATAGGGAGTCAGAGGCGGTGCAAGGAAGGTGCAAAAGGGTACTTTATTATGAAGCAGAACAAAACATGTTGTCCGGTTGCAGTCCGGGAAGAAGAGAGTGAAGTCAGGAGGGCACACAATATATATAGACAACACATAACATGTCCGTGTGGAAACAAAACCCCAACTGTAGTTCCATGTGTGAATTATGAACCCCAGTGTATTAATGAGTGGTCACTACAGTACTAACATAGCGAGACATTCCGACACCAGACAAAGTGTGCGGGTAGATTAGTAAACCTGGTGTGTTTACTCTTCAGGCTTCGCGTCGGGATCTTCGGGGCAGTTGAATGTTATGCACCTTCTATTAAAAAAAGAGAACGGAGCGAAAAATACAAACAACAAATTGTGTCAGGTGCGCGTGACCTGCTCCGCTGCGCGTGCATCATTTCCAAATGATCCACAGCAGTGATACACATCTGTGGATAATCATTTATACGAAAATGGTTAAAGCAACCATCACTAAACGCCAGCAACACTGCATCTACTGCAGACAGTAGCAGGCCCGGCTCCAGGATGAAATGACTGAGGGGGCTGTTAAAATACTGGCAATGTAATGAATTGACACACCAAGCTTTTTTCCTTCTCACTGCTCTACAGTCTCTTTGCTTCTTTATTGTTATTCCGGATTGACCCCTCTCATTCTGTTCCTCTGATCTTTAATAACAGATAGTAGATAGTTGATAGATAGATGGCTGCACTTTGGTTCACAGACTAACATTGATTTCCTCAATCTATAAATGGACAGGCTCTGTAATTACACCATAACCTTTTCTCCTCTATCCCTTAACTCCTCTTCCTATCAGACTTACTTACTATCTACTCTAGTCTAGTCAGGATTAAAGAACAATTCATCTGGTTGATTTTGTATTTCCAGGATTGAATGTTCAGACCAAGGCCTAAAACCTGGCTTTCATAAGAAAGTGACTAATATATAAACCAAATGTAATATTGGATCAAACACCAAATGGAGAGACGCAGATTAAACATGAAGTCCCCTGGTTTGCCTCTAGAGTCTAACTGCCATGAGAACAATCAGATCAATGTTCCACAATCCGCCACTAGATGTCGCTCATTGTACCGATACGGTTGATATAATACACAACATATTATTATTCTAGTGAAAGGGCTCGCTTTGGCAAACACCTGATCCATACAGGCAGCCCTAAATAATAACAAGTAACCATCATGTGTGGTGCTATCTGTAGTGGTCTGTCTTTTT